CTTATTTGCCACACATCCCTCCCTCAAATACCAAAAAGTCAAAGCTATTTGATTGGCACACAGGAGCAAATAGAACGTCTCTTCCCTGAATCTCAAACTGTGGTTTTCTTCTTTCACTTAGCAGGAAAGGACTTCTTGCTCAGAGGTTCAGCTCTTCTTAAGTTAGCCTGAAAAGCACTCCTGAAGGTTTAACATGCAGCATATACAACATGTTTGATCAACATGCATATTGGCATCCTAAGCTGTAAAGAAGGCTGCCATTGAGGCCTGCTGTCAAAGACCAGATACTGCAGAGACCTCGCCCTGAAAGGGAAGGAGAAGACATGCTAATTTTCTCCACCTACAATCAGTATTAAAATGCAACTGACCAGTGCAGAAAACAAGATATTTCTCCCATTTCCTCTTGCCAAAATACTTCCAGAAGGAAATACAAGCTTATTTGGGAAATGCGGTATTAGGTGTGCATCACTCTTCAAGTGTCACATCATTTTACACACAATGACCAGAGTTAGAAGTTTTACAGAAGAAAAAGTCTTTCAATAGCTACATGCTGACCTCAGGATACCAGCTACATCATTTACTTCTGCGGTAACTGCATAGTGTTTGGGACCACATAGACTGCAGAGCAGAGGGCAGCATCCCGAGAAGTGCTTTAGACAAGCCTTCCTCATTACTGCAACAGTGACTACAGCGACAGGAAAAGACAGCACATAAGATACAGCTGCCTGATGCATCTCTGGTTCTGACACCTCTCCTCAGCACAGCCACATTTACTTAAAAGATCAACACCACCAAGGGAACGTTTGTAAATTGATACTTTACAGCAGCTTACGCTTTCACAGCGGAGCCAGTCTGTGGGTGGCAAGACAAGATAACCTGCACTTACTAACACAGTGGCCATTCTTGGCTACAGAAAGAACAGCCACATGCAAGATCTGGAAGAAGGATGTTTCCTCTTCAGTCTACTAAATCAGGCAAAAATTATGAAAAGACAGGAGTTTGACGGACTTAATGTGCATGGGTTAATGTGACCAACCTGAAAAAAGGCAAGTGAAAGATATGCCATCAACAACTCTTTGGGACCAAACTGCATTACTTCCAAACGGTTAATGTGTTATGACAAAGCCAGAAAACAGAGGAGAAAAAACACTCTCCAAAAAGATTACATAATTCAATTAAGTTTCCCTGTATAACTAACTAAAGTCTTCAGAAGTCAACGATAAAATTAAGATTTAGTTTCCTAATTCTACTTTCAAAATTGCAGGTAGACTTTCCTCCTCCCTTTTGTGTGACACTGCACAAATACACTGCTCTTAGTTTAAGACATCAGAAGAGTTGGGAAACAGAACACCTCTGGATAAGGGGAAAAAACTGAGGTACTCAGAAGGGTAGGTTGTTTCCTCACAGAAAAAAAGCGCTTTAAATCAACTTCAAGGGATTTCAAACTTAAGACTCCAGTTACAGTGAGAACTGGACAAAACCATTTCCATAATGTTTTTTTCATCAGAAGGAAAGCAAAACTTAACCAAAAATAATTCTTGACTGTTTCTCAGCATTGAAAACATCATCCTAGTAACCAGTAAGAACTACAAACCACAGGGCTTTCTTAAACTACACTTTCTGAACAATATTCAAACATTACATTGCAGTAAGGAGAAAAAGCAAAACTACCTCAACTAGTATTTCAAACAAGAAGGGGGAAATAACTCCCAATATAGTATTTTTTTTTTCCCCTAGGCCTAGAGCATTAGTCTTACTTTTTCATTACGTGGTCTTCATGGATTTGTCCTTAGTGCTATTCAAGCGTAATGCATAAGGAGTAACCAGAGCAGGGTATAGCTCACCCCTTTTATATTGCTTTTAGGTCCAAGTTAGATGACAAACTCCTTTGGGCAGGAATCTTTCTTCATTTGTTACCTGCCACACAATGAGATGATGAGGCTGCGAGTAAGCAGGGTTCTACCTGTAGATCATATGCTTGTGCCACCACATCTGTAAATTCCCAGATTAAAATAACCCATAACAGATTTCTTTAAAAGATTGTTTCCTTAAAGAAACCAGAATTTCAGAGAACGAGAGGGTGCAACTATACAACAGTCGCCATGCAAGCATGCCAGGAAAAAGACTTTCCAAACAAGGTGCAAAAGCCACATGGCAGTGTGGAGGAAGTAGATACCTAGGTATGAAGAACCACTCCAATTAAACACTAACATTCATTTGTTGAGAAAGGAAAAGTAGTAGGTTATCAAAATGCTGTCCTCAGCCCTTCGTGCTTATTGCTGGATCCATTCCAACCCAGTCTGTTGAACTGCACTCTCCTAGTACCCATTAGATCTCAGTACCTAATGAAGGTAAATATATAATAAGTTAGCTCGAGGTTTTTTTTTTTCTTCAATACATTCAGTTAACTGATCATTTCTCTCCTGCCTCTCCAAATACCATGGGGCTTCATTTTACATCAGTAATGGCTTAAAATATTTCCTTTTTAATTATAACAGTAGTAAGTGATAGAACAACTGAATACAGCCATCTCTGTCCTAATACAGACTTCAGAGATACAAATTCGTACAAAAAAGCATTATCTAAAGCAAGTCAACGAAGTCTAAGTTAAGAAAAAAACTAGTGTAGTTATCAATGATTTCATTTAATACTATCAAAGGATAATTCATATTCAGGAATAATACCTTCCATCATACTTGTCTGCTAAGACACTAGGCTTAAAAAAAGTCACAGGAGTATTTATGCACTAGATGTACTCCTAGCCATTGCAGAGTCAGGAATTTCTGACATTTAAGATTACTTGAGAGTAAAGCTGTCTGTATTTGCAATTTGAAATGAGAAAGTATATCCTGCCTGTTTAAATTATTTTTAGACAGGTTGCCCAAAAAGATGATTTTAAAGATGCCCAAATGTGTATCAGCCTAAGGCCAGGTTGTACTTGCTTTCAGTTTCAAAGACCTTCTTTCATCTCTGAAGAATGGAATGTTGTTTACTGCTCAGAATGTTTTGCCATGTTATCACGAATGTATTACAAATGTTCTGCTTCTTGAAATACAGAATGTTTGTCAAAATCCCTTTTTCTCTACATGAGAAATCTTTAGTCTTCTATAAATCCCCTTTAGATATATTGGGACACTAAATGTCTAAGTCTAAACATCTTGCACAAGTTATTAACCTATATAATTTCACATAAATAAGTCCAGAGAATTGCTTTCTGGTCACATGGAACACTACGGAGCAGGCATTGGAATGCAAGATTGCATATGAGAAACAACAGTACTTTCACTGGCAGAATTGCCTTCACCTACTGCCCTTACAACCAAGTCCAGTAACACAACCTATAGGAATAGAAGAATTTTAAAATACAGCAGATAAACCTTAATGGCATTTCATTGTCGAATTTATGGTCAGTTTAGGCATGTCATGTCTCAGTTCTTCTAAAATAGCATATAAATAATGGATCACCACCATACAACACTGCTAACTGTCTCACTTTAGTACAATCCTGCAGAGCTTTTAGTAAAGTAGGCACATCCCAGACAATAATAACTGAGAAACACCTAACAGGCAGACTTGTTAAACATTCAGAAACAAGTCCAGCACTAACTATAAAACACCACTAGAAAGAACAGGAATAGTTACTCAATAAAAGCTCAGGGGAAGAGGAAAGGATGGAGAAAACTGTTCTTGTGCTAGACTCACTTTTTCAAGTTTTTCCAGTGGTATTTAAAAAAGTACCTACACCATCAGGTTCACGTGAAAGTGCATCAAAAAACTTCAAAGAAATGAAGAGTTGCTCTTCAAAAGCTTGGAGTACTGTTTTTGGAACTTGCTTAGATACAGATTCCTTTTCTCACTTGCTAAAAACTATGAGCATTCAAGGAGTTAATACCTCCATGTCAGAATGAAATCAGATAAACAAGCCTGTTTCATTTCCTTAGAGAGGTCTTCTGTCACAATCCAGGCTGAGAGAAAACCCACAGGTTAGATGCTACTGCTGTCTCAGGTTGCTAACACTTGTTGAGCTTTATATAACGTCTTTCCAGACTCCAGCGTTCAAAAACACTTAAGTATTTTCAACCTTCGTATCCACTTAAGCTTCCTCAGATAGACTTTCTACGACAGAACAACTAAAAAGCTTAATGATCAGACAACTTCACCACCATTTCCTCCAAGAGTTACGTTTCAGGCTTCTGTTCACTATCCGTGGGTCACAGGCCAACCACCCATTCATTCAAGCAATGTTGAGGCTCCATGAGAAAGAGTAGCAAAATAGACAGCTTGAATCACACCTGGCAACTCATTTCTCCCATCTCCAGCCAAGATGATAACCTCTAACAGAAGTAGGCTGTCAGTCTCCTTGGAAAGAACTTCTGCAACCTCAGAAGCTTCCCAGGTCCCTGAAATGGTTTAACTCCTGCACAACATCAAGAGATATGTTAAACTAACATCTGTTAAAAGCATCTTAAAGGTACTTTTAAAACAAAGGATAGGGCAAGAAAGGGAGACTTGATTCATTGCTGGAACGGAAACAGCATCTGAAGGATCTAGCTATTTTTGGTTTGCTAGCAGGGCAAGCTCATTGTATATTTGAAAGGAATCTGTGCCTTACACACTGAAAACAGCCTGCAGCCAAACCTAACTGTCACAGCCACTTGAAGAGCCATCCAAAACTGCTGAGTTCAACTGATGGACCACAACAACTAAGACTGCTGTGACAGTCTTCATTACTCTCCACTGCAGACCAAAGTTTCTCTGAACCATCACCTGATTCAGCCCTTTGCACAAAGCACTCTTATTCACAGTTCTTCCTATAACATCAATTAACATCCCCATTAAATTTACCAGAAGCAATCCTTTCAAACATCTAATACACGGACTGGTTTTCTTAAAGGCTGGTTATGTATTGTAAGTGAAATAATTCTCAATTCTCCTTACTGGATTATTTTCATCCTTGCCCGTATGAAGACGCAACAATGCCATGCAAGTCATTTCAGTACCTCCAGCCCAATGTTCGATGAATCCAAAGGTCTTTTCTTCCTCGGTCCAATGGCTGCCAAAGCTGTGAGGTTAGCTTCTCTCTGTTGCATTTGTGCTAACTCCAACTGTTGCATCTAATTTAAAAAGAAAATACTTATATTATGATATCAAGTATTCCAAAGGGCTTGTTTACTGTAGCTTCAGACAGTTTGTGATGCTTACTGAAACAACGTATTTGACAGCAACTTTTAACATCTTCCCGGACAGTTCTAACAGATTCCAATAATCAGTCATGCTTAGAGCCTTGAAATACCAATAGCCCTAGAGAGGCTATTGCATAAATAATACATTTTCTGGAAACCGCACTTGGTATCAACAGTCTCAATAGGAACCTCTCTGCTGGTACCTCAACTCTTGAGCTGTGACGCTACTGATTAGTAGAGAACGTCTGACTAGAGCTGGTGTAAATGGCTGCATTTAAGTTTAAGTTGCTTAGTTCTGCAAACTGAGCATATCCTTTACTCAATTTACAATCTTACAACTGCACAAGCAAGACATTCTACGTTTCTTCAAGCTATATCACCTGAACCTAGCACTCAGTATTACCATTCTGAAATATTTTATTATCCAAAGATTAGGATGTTGTCAGTTCACTGATACTCCTAGTTTTTTCCCCCCAGAACATATTTGAACTTTTTGAAGCAAATTAGCAACACTCCAAATGCTGCATATATTTATTTTCAGTTGCTCAATCCCAAAACTCTTCAACACAAAGAAACCCAGGCAGATGTTACCTCTCCAGGGATTAATTTAGCAAGTATGTGATTTGATTCAGCTTAAAAATAAAATAAGACAGCCAGCAAATCTCTTCAATGACATTTAAGAACCATCCAGCAGCAAGACAAGGCTCCCCTTTCTTTTAAAGGCTTGGGGATAGGGAATAGTCTCTAGAATACAGAAGAAAGGAGAAAATAAACCATAATCAAGAGAAATAAGGTTTATGTTATGTCTACATTTCAAGGGGAATACCATTTCATTCTGTGCAGTAAGTTTAGATGCCCGCTGCTCTGGAGCCCAATCAAGTCAAGTTTGCTGACAGACTTCCTAATTTAGACTGACCACCTTGCTAATGCAGCTCCACTTCTCTCAGATCAACCAACCAACCATCCCACAGAGCGCAGAGTGAAGACCTCCTCCCACTCTAGAAAAGGAGACCTTTCTTTTATCTAGGTTGAATTCGTCCTTAAGCACAAACTTCTGGGTTTGATGCTTCCTCCTTCCAACAATTTACAAAACCTCATTTTGAACTGGAATTCTTTACATAGGTTGGAGGAGCAGGGGAATACAGTCACATCACGACAGGAAAGTAAGTAGCTCTTCACTCCTCTCTTCCAATCATAAAAAGATTAAATTTCCTCATTCAGTGAGTACAGATGTTTCACTTACTACGCCTGCAATACACTATGCTCTTGCTTGCTTTTCTGCTCTTAGAAATCTTGTTTAAAGGGAAGAGAAATTCAGCTGGTAAAAACAACCAAGCTTGTACTACCTAAATGGCATTATTTCCCAATTTGGCATTACTCAGACTAGAATCCACAATGAAAAATGTAGGTTTCTTTTTTGCAAGTATGTTAATATTATTTGTTCTACTATTTCACTTCAGAAAGATAGAGTTGTTGATCTCTCAATAATGCTAGCAGCTTTACATGATGTATTGTAGAGAGGCTAGACTATTAAGAACAGTATTTCAGTAAGGGATTTCAAAAAAGGACATCCTTCCTTTTAAGACTCAGGTAACACGTGCACTAGAGATTTTTCAACACAAATCAGGGAATATGAAAGGCTGACATACACATGTTAACATTTTTTTTCCTTAGAAAAAAATACATCATTCAGTTAAGAAAATAACACTTTATGCCAGTCAGCTTTGATCAAACCATGTAGGCTTTTGTGGATAGAAACGTAGCAGTGCTTCTGCAACACTGGGTATGATCATTCACCTACGATACATGCTACTGTATTGTTGTCCATATGTTCAGTGTAAACATTTACACAATTTTATTCATCAGAATTACTCCAGTTCTGCATATTTAATACACCATCTCACTTTTTTTTTTCTCCTTTTCTTCAAGTATATGGTAATGTTTTCAAGAATATTTACAAAACTAAGGTTTTCTGTCCCTTAAAAACTCCATATAGATAAAAGTAGCAAATCATGGATCTCAAAGTAAGCCTAGTTTTAAAAAAAAAAAAGTAAAGCACCACACACCACAATTATACAAAGCACATATAGAATTATTCCCAATGCAGTCCTCAAAAGCCTCCACTACAGTTAGACTTCTCAAAATTCATGACAACCGATCATTTGGTAGTTGTCTCGAAACAACACTGAAATAAAAATTCCCTCTTTTTTGTAGAGCCGACGTCGACAGGATGCCACAGTAAAGACACAGGCATGAAATAACTACTGAGGTGGTTTATGGTTAGCATCAGTGTGGGGTGCAGGAGGATGCAGTAGGGTGAGAATGCTGTTTGGTGGAAACCAGGCATGCTGCTCTGGGCACGTAAAGTCTGTGTAGTGTCTGCGCACATTCACTCATTCGCCCTAGGAGATTCAAGCTGGCAAATCACACTGGAGACAATGACTCCCAGAAGTGAGCACTGCTACTTGAGAGCAGTACTGATAGAAAAAACTACCAATGCAAAGGGCAAGATGACGCTTGGAAGGTATGAAGGAGATGCACTTTCTAGAAACAGAATTGATGCATTATGCAATTCCCAAAATGATGCTGGAAACGCATGCTGTGACTAACTTACATGTTTTTCCCAATAAAATTTTCCACCTCGAACAATCAAAGAATTTTTCAGATAGGGCAAATCTGAACAGGGTTTCAGAGCAAAAAAAAAAAACCAACAAAAAACACCACACACACACACCACATAGCCTCGTATTCCAGATACGCCTTGGATTTTTTGAGAACTTAAGATGAATTTAAATAACAGCCATAATGGACTGAACACATCCTCATTAAGAGATACGGGCAAGTGTCCAAATACATTACTGAAGCCAAAGTCTTTAAGAAGTTTTGTTCTAATAAAAGTGTGATATTAATTGTCCAGGCATTGCATGAGCAGTTTAAAGCAGAGGATTAGGAGAAGACAGAAAGATAACATCAAGGGACACCTGAGGATACTGACTTGTTAATTACTGTTGGAAAAAAATCAAGATTAGGAAAGAACAAGAGGCAACTATGCTAATCAAATCTTTCTTTTTTAACAGATATTTTTGTAGCGCACAACTTAGGCAGAAAAATCACTGGAGCAAGTGGAAGACAGTAGAAGTAGCATATATATTTTATTGAAATATACATGCAAAGAAGTTGCACCTGGTATTGTTTTCCTTCTAGGGGCTCCTTTTTTAATATTAGTATTTCTGATAAAATTGGGTTAAAATAGAAAATGTCATACTCTGGTTTATATCTTCAAAACATACCTTCCCTCCCCCACCCCCAAGACAGAAGCACATAATGGCAATTCAATAGGGGAAAGGAGAATCTGTCATACATCAACCCAAACCCACAAACTGGCACGGTCCCTCTCAGCAGATGAAGTAGTACAGACAAAGATGCTGCCGTTCCACCATGACACAAGAGCTGAATATGTATCTTCTGTTCAAAATTCACTCGACAGGGGACAGTCTTCAGACAAGAAGCAAAACAGTGTTCATGCTCCTACTCCTACCCTTCAGATTTTTGCATATACCAAGAACCACAGTACAAAGAGTTCTAAAACCCTGTATATAAAGATCAAATTGCTATGAAAACGTCTCTGAACTTGTAAAATAGTCTTTGTTGCTGCTGGCCTTTTTAATAATAAAAACAGAGTTTAAAGTCTAGTCTTGCAGCAAAAGCAGGAATTTCTAGGGTGACACAATAACCATTTTAGTTAATCTGACCTGCAGCACAAATCAAAAAGTAAGGTACATTTTAAAGTCCTCCCTTACAGTGAAATGGCATTTGCAGCATGGCTGTAATCACATAAAGTGAAAGGTTTTAAAATTGACCCATTCTTCACTCAGTCCTCTCCAAGAAAAAAAACATTTCCTTTTCTGCTCACAGGAATTTTATTTCTCACTTATGATGTCTCATACTCCACATTTCAGAAAATATGCAAAGTCTATTTCTACCCTATACCAATGACATTTTTGGTGGCATTTTAATATTAAAAAAAGAAATTTCAAGTTGCACAAGATGAGAAGAAGTATTTCAGCTACAAGATGCCAAGACATTTTTTCCTTTAAGCAGTTCTGCTAAGGTAGGAATTCTTAAGACTGAAACCTCTTCAGTCTTAAGCACTGTCCAAATAAGTAGTTAGCAGTGAAGACAGTCTGCTTGTTTCTTATAGTGCTGGGCAATCATCAAAAAAGCATCTTTTCACCTTTGCAGAAAGCTGTGCAGGGTTTCCATTTTTGGCTCCCACACACATAATATTTTCAGTAGGAGATATCAAAGCAGAATAGAACAATACTTGGTTTGTAAAATAGAAGACATTTTTAAGGATAATTCTTCTTTCAACTAAGAGGAGTATCACACCAGCATGAACACTGACTTCAGTTATATCCAGAAGGGAAGGAAAGGGAAATCATACCTCTTAACTCAGTTTCTGATCTGTGGTCCCTAAATAGGGGTCACTGGAGCTGTTTCACATCCTATACAACACTGCATGTTGGTTTTTAATCTTTAGATTATATAGTACATGAAATGCAATTGTTTGCTTTATCAGAGCTCCACCAATCCAGGCTGCACAAACCTTGCAAGATTTTCTCAATCACTGCAAGGAAGAATCCTTTAAACACTTAAGAACGGAAAATTTGTATTCTACTTTAAAAATGCAACTAGTTTACACCATCTATTCCATGATGTGTATAGTAGCAGAAGGCTGTATTACTAAATGGGAGCAAAGGAGAGCTATTTAGCTTAATCCATGTTCTCCTTTGAAAAGGAGTTATACAAGCCCTCATGCTTGGTAACGAAGTACACAAAAGGATCAAAATATCCTGTATGAGCTTTCGTAGAAGATAAATGAAGTGCGTGAAACTTTTGTTCTCTAGATGCTCAATAATAGTTTTACTGGT